TACGAAGAATACTCTCTCTCTCTCTCTCTCTCTCTCTCTCTCTCTCTCTCCTCCTAAAGGATAAGAGCCGACGGCACCGCACCACACCGCAGCTCGGCTATTGACGAGGAGGAGATGGCTCTTCCGCGCCCCTCCTCCCTTGAAATGCAAAAAAGGGGTTGCCGCGTGGTGGTAGTGGCGTGGCAGCAGGCGAGAAGAAAGGAGAGGACGCGCTTGGATAGCGAGGGGAGGGGAAAGGAAGGGCGAGAGCGAGAAATAGAGGAAAAAACTGGAAGGAGGAAGATGAAGAAGAAGAAGAAGAAGGTGGGCGGAAGGTGGAAAGAGGACGAAAGAGGAAAAGAAAGGATGAAAGACGAGTTCTTCTCACCTCCGATTCCCCTCTTTCGCCTCGCAAATTGCGGATAGGCTGTCCTTTCCAATCAACCTGCCCTCCTCGCCGTCCCTCCCCCTTTTTGCTGCCCAATTCTTCCATCCCTCCCTCGCTTCCGTTATACTTTTCCACCCTGGTCGCGCTACCACCCCTCGCATTCCTGTAACTCGAGGCCGCAGCCTGATCCTAGCGCTTCCCATTCTATTCCCCTCCCGGAAAGCCAAATCCCGTCGTCGTAATTTTTACGTAACACGCCTCGCTATGAATATCGATGCTCGGGGAATTAAGGAGAGCAGCACGGTTTTCCGTAATTGAAAGAATTTTTGTCGCGCTGAGCCAGCTGGCCCGCGCGTAAAAGCTTCTCGCGTTTCTTCTTCCTTTTTTCCTCCTCCCTTTCTTTCTTTCCTCCAGAAGAAGGAGGGTTTCTCTCGACGTTCGCGCGACGTCAAATGACGACTGTGATCGTGAGAATTTTAATAAATTACCGAAACGGTCCGCTGACTGACGATTTCTTCTTTTTTCGAGTGACAAATTCGGCTCGATGCCTTATTTCGTTTCTCGCTTATTTTTCTCTCGGAAAACCGTGTCTATTTTTCGACGGCCAGACGATTCTTGATATCTCGTTTGTATTTCGGTTCGAGCTTGATATCCCGAAATATCAAATTCTACGATGAAAGTCGTTTATTTTCGATCGAAATAACAATATCCATAAACAAGTTTATGTTATTAACAAGTAATATCGGCTACTATAATCGGACTGATTCGATCCGTTAGCGACGTAAATTAGCGACGATTAGGAAGAAACGAGAAATCCGAGGTATTTATTTTGGTGGCGTGCCAAATGTTTCGGCGATGTCTGTCAATTTCTGGAATATTCAATCAGCCGAGGAACGGTCGGTCGGCTAGATAGAAGCCAAGGGAGAATTCAAGTTCGCCACAACATCGCGACGTCTCGGATAGTCTTGGAAGTCTCGGTTTTATCTACATTATTAACCGGTTGAAACCTCACGGCTGTGTACTTAAATCCAATCTAGAAATCCCACCCTTCTAGTCTCCCACCTTACTACCCTCGAGGGGCGAAGGTCGACAGAGACTGGCAAGGGCGATTACCCTCCATTATTCACACGCTCGATTCCTGCCGCTGAGTGATACCTGAGAAAATCTAGTCGAACGTCCTCCCAAATTTCAACGATATCTAACGGAGATGCCTCCCTCCCATTTTTTCTTTCCCTCCGTCACCCCTTCTCGTCGCACGCGATTCTCGTTTCGCGATAGGATTTGCAAGGGAGAACCGATACAAACGGAATATATATTCGAAAAAATATATTTAAAAAAGAAGAAGGATACGCGAAAGAAAAAAGTGGAAATCTCGTCGTCGAATTTCTTTCTTTCGTCGTTTCCTTCCATCAATTTGCTTCGGAATGCACAAGAATCGTAGACGATACGAGAAATTAATCATCGGGGATTTTTTTTTCCAC